TTTATTTTATTTTTGTAATTTTTCTACACCAAGATATGGATTTTTGAATTTAGGGATCATTTTCTGATTTATTTAATTCCCTATTTATCTATTTAAATGTGCGATGCCACCTCATTCTAGGCAGCTCCGAACGACGACGCGACGCACTCCCATTCGTTGAGCTTTCCACTTTGGCATGCCACGCGGCCCGCGGTTCACGCACCGAGAGTTCATCTGGCTAGATCTTATCTGTTGATGAGATAAACACGTGATCGGATAGCTTCCCATTGTCGTCCTCAAATAGGCTAACCCGTGACTGTTAATAGTAAAACCCTAAGATCTCACTCATTTCTCCACCAAATGATCTCGGGTTTGATCCTATGGGACAAAAATATCCATACGGTAAGCATGCCATTAAACTAACCCTAATCAAATAGAGAATCAAAATAGGCTTGGGAAGATGGGAAGTTCAATACCTTTGCTCTAAGAAGGGAAGCTTCAATCAGAGTTGCCCGACACGTTCGTGGAGGTCCAAGGAGGCTAAGGATTTGAGCCTATGGTCGTGGTGAAAGGTTTAGACCCGAATTCGATTAAGGCCAGATTTGGGTGTTGGTCTTGAGCTATCTTAGAGGCTCTGTATGAGGGGGATTTGATAGGGCTTTGTCTAGTTCAGTGTGGTGATGGTGTGGGTGAGTTTAATTTGGATTTGGTGCACCGTGGAGGTGTGGTGGAGAATGTCCTATCTTCGACAAGGATTTGAGCTCCAAAATTGAACTCTGGCAAGGGGAATTAGGGCAATGAAGTGGTTGGATTGCACTGTGGAGGTCTCAGGAAGCTCAGGGAGTAATTTCAGAGGCTATCCTTAAGAAATTTTCAGCACACCTTTATGGCCATGGAAGTGGAGCTTTTATAAAAATGGCTTAGGGTGGCTCTGTGGGCCAATGTATGGGTGCAAAATTTTGCCTATGTGGAGGGCATAGAGGCTCTAAACTTCAAATGAGATGAGGTGGCCTCTAGGTTTGAAATGGGTGTGGATTTCTTGAGGGTGGCTCACGGTTTTGGCTCCTCCGGTGGCTAGACTGGTCGACAAGGCTAGGGGAGGTGGCCAGGAGGTCCAGGAGGTTAGGGAAGCCAGGGGAATCTGTCACAACAATTTATTTGGGCAGGTGTTTAGTTTTGGCAAAAATACCTTAAGCTTAAGCAAATTTGGAAATAAATCCCTTGATTTGTGGATACTTTGGTCCATGGCTCATTTGGGTGGTTCCATGGGGTTTAGTCTAGTCAATAAGGTCCAAATTTTGGTTGTGGTGCTTTTGCCTTGACCAATTTGGCTAGATTTGGGTCAAATTTTGGTGAAGGGGTCCATGTAGGTCGGGTCCATGTAGCTCAATTTGGCTAAAACTTAGTTTTGGGTTGGGCTAGCCATATTGATCAACATTGTGTAGATGATTGTAATGAACATTTTTTATGAAGGATTGAAGTGAATTTGAGTTCAATTGGGGGTTCAATTTGAGGGATTTTGGAGTTTTGGTCACTTAGGGCATGTTGGGCTAGACTTGGGTCTAGATTGGGTTGGCTTGGGCTAAGTCCAAATTGATGTTGAGAATGGTCAATAGGAATGTCATCAAAAGTTTTCAACGTGAATTGGGTGTCAATTTTTGGGCTAAGGCAATCAATTTAGTGGAATTTTGAGACATGGTCAATTTAGGGAAAAATTGGGGATTTTTGGATTTGGGTTGAAATTAAATGAAATTGAGGCTTTACCAAGGCCAATTGAAAGTCAAGTTTGATGTGTAGGAGTGTTATGAATAGTTTAGGATTCAAATTGAGACCAATGAAGTAGGCCATGAGGTTCAATTTGGCGGAACCAAGTCATAGGGTCAAAATTGGGGGTTTAACTTAGATCAAAATTGGGCTCAAAGCATGAGCCAATTGAGCTTGGATTTGGTTTAGATTGGTCATATGGAAGTTGAATTTGAGTTTATAATTGAAATTGGGGGAAATTGAGACCACGTTGATGGACATTTGAAGTGAATTTAGGGAAATTGGGCCTTTAAAGGCACTTTGGGGGTTTTGGTCAAAATAGTCAAATTGGTCAAATGGGTCATGTGGTAGTTGAGAAAAATGAAATTGGGAATATTTGGAAGGTTTTGAGAATTTTTGGGATTTTTTGGAATTTTTTGAATTTTGGGATAAGGAGGAGCATTTTGATAATTTGGCAAATTTTTGGTGATTTTGGAGAATTTGGATGTTTTCAACAAGTTTGAAGTGATTTTTGAACAAATTTGACTATTTTTGGTAAATTTGAGAATTTTGGCCAAATTTAGGGTTTCAATGGTACTTAGGTAATTTGGGGGAGTTTAGTGGAAAAAAGGTCAAGTTGAGTATTTTTGGTAGAATTAGGGTGCCAACCACCATAAATGAGCTATGGATCAATGGAAACCCCATTTGGGTCCTATATGTACTGGTCTTAGCTAAACCCTAGCCTAGGGCCAGTGGGTTTAGGAGACCATCTACATGAGTCTCCCAAATGATTAAGGAATCAAAGTCAAGAAATTTTGGGTTTGTATTTGTGAGTGATTATGAGTGAGGTGAGTACCTTAGCTCTATACCAACACCCAGGGTTAACTCTAAGGTCAAGCAGTTCTATGGGAACTCTCCTTGAGCTCTCCAATAATGACCCCACCAAGCAAGTGCTAGAGGTTAGGACCACTATGTGGAACTTCAAGTTGAGTAAAGAGGAGTTAGGAATTTCTAATGGTGAGGGTTCTTTTTCTAGTTTTCTAGGAATAGTCAACAGGAAAGTCCTATGGCTAGACCCTAGGCTACTAAAGAGGAAGAACTAAACCTCAACCAAAAGTGAGGTTAACAATGCTTTACCTGAATTATTTTGTATGAATATTCCTATTATTGTGCAAGATGCACTGAAAGTTTCTAAGTTGAAGAAAGTTATCTTTGAGGAGATGAATGCTCTTTATGAAATGGAAAATGAAAATTAGTTGATCTACTTAGAGGGAATACAACTATAGGGTGCAAATGAGTTTTTACACTCAATATGTTATAACACTCAACTGGTAACCAAGAGATTCAATCAGATATATGACATTGATTACTTATAGACGCTAGCACTAATCATAATATAAGGCTCTCTAAGAGTTCTTATATCACTTGAAGCTAAGCCTGATTGGCCCCTATAATATTTACATATAAAAATGCAATCCTCAAATGCTACATGAAGGAATAAGTGCACATGGATTCACCTCCAAGATTTTTGAGAAGTTTGGCACAAAAGTTTATGAACTAAAAAAATTCATTATATAGACTGAATTAGTCTACGGGAGTGTAATTTAAGAAATTTACTCAGTTTGTTAAAGGTCATGGATATACTCAAGGACAAGAAAATTATACTATATTTCATTAAACATTCAAACTATTGGAAGTTAACCATGCTAATTGTGCATGTGTACAATATAATTCTCATCAAAGATGACATATATGAGATGAACCTTTTGAGAACTCTCATGCCATCAAATTTTAAGACTAAGGACATATGAGCTTGGAGGTATTTCTTTGGCATGGAGATTGCTCGGTGAAAGAAAGGGATTATTGTTTTTTTAATAGAAGTATGTTATTTTATAAGACAGCGGTGAGACCTGCAATGCTATATGGCGCTGATTGTTGTCATTTAAAAGAGAAGCATAATAATAAGTTAAGTGTTGACGATATGAGAATGATTAGGTAGATGAGTGGCTTTACACTTAGAGACAAAATGCGAAATGAATATATCTGTGATAGGGTTGGTGTAGGCCCTTTGACAGACAAAATTAGAGAAAGTCGTCTTAGATGGTTTGGTCACATTAAACGTCGACCATCTGATGATCCGATTAGGAGTGTAGATGTTTTAGATTCGACTTGTGTTAAGAAGGGAAGAGGTAGACCTAGGAAGACTTGGGCTTATTGTCTTAAAAATGAACTTAATTTACTAGAACTACATGAAAATATGACGCTAAATAGGACGTAATGGAGAAAAAAGATTCATGTAGCTGACCCCACGTAGTGGGATTAACGCTTTGTTATTGTCGTATGTTATTGATATTCTAAAGTTAACTAAGATAAGCAAGTGCTGACCTATACACACACTTCAATTGATCCCAACAAAAAAATGGGAGATGGTAAGAAAGGTGATCTAGTGAATAAATTTTAGTACCAAATGTTGATGGGAAAGTTGATGTAATTATAACATACATGCCCATATATTACTTTTGTTATGAGTTTGTTAAGTCAATTTTTGCATTCACCCTATGGGAAATGCCTTGAAGCAATTAATAAGATTCTCCGATACCAAAACTGTATACGAGGCAATGGGTAACTCTTTAAGAATATCAAACAACATAACATAGCTACATACACTCATGCAGATTGGGAGGGTTTAATTATTGATAATAGTTCTACGTTGGAATACTTATGTCTGGGGAAATTTGATTACATGACAAAGTAAGAAACAAAATTTGGCTGTGAGGATTAGTTTTGAGGTAAAATATAGGGCTATGGACAATAGATAATATGAGAAATTATTGTTGAAGATAACTCTTGAAGAGTTGTGAATCCTAATAAACAAATCAATGAAGTTGTATTGTGACAATAAGTTGTCATAAGCATTCTAAAAATTAGTGTAACATGATCACATAAAATATTTAGTGATTGACAAACAATTCATAAGAGAAAAGACTGATTTGTGGAGCTACTTGAATACTTTTATCGCGACTAAACAACAAATATCAGATAGATTCACCAAAGGACTGTTTAGGTCTAGTTTTGAGAACTTTGTAAGCAATTTGGGCATGATACATATCTATGCTCACTCCAACTTGAGGGAAGGTGTTGATTTTTTAGGAATTCAAAATTTAGTATCTTCTTTTGTCAATATTTTTTATTTTTATAATATTATATTATTTGTAATTTAAATTCCATTCATCTTTTTCTAGCAAGGAAATTTTATGGCATTCGTAATTTGGCGGCCTTCCTCTTATACTTATCATATAAATATTTCTTACGAAAATGAAATGAATAATTATTTTTTCCTTCTCCCAAAAACTATAGTTACCATGGTTGGTCTTTGTTGCTTTTCTTCTGCATGAAAATCCTTGAATTTGTAGCTTGGTTGCTATTCATCAATGCCTCTTTCTGGTTATCAAACGCATGAAATATCACCTTTAGATTATACTTGTTCGGTTTTGCTTTATGGTCTTGATATTACCCATTTCTGACTTCTCACTAACCTTTTGGTTTAATTAACAATAGTAAAATTAAACTTTGTTTGTTTTGATTACTTTTTTTTTTTTACCAAAATTGGCTACTTTCCTCTAGTCAGGTCCTCCATCATGTTCAGTTGGGGCAAATACATGATGCATTGTACCTATACGTTCTAAAACCGGAAAAAGGCAAGTTCAAATAATCTAGGGATTTTACATACTTGGAACACCAAAACTTAAGAAATTACATAAACATAGAACCCGAAACATTAGTATCATCACAAAGGAACAGTAAACTTCTCATTTTACCGAAACTGAACTCTGTCTCCAGCCTATGTTTGTCTTCATCAATCCATGCGTGGGAAATGAAATTCGCATTGATTTTAGGATGAGTTGGGAAGGCAACGACTTGATCCTGCCATATACAGGAGAGCTATTGATATTCGTCATATGTAGTTCTGAGTGCATATTCCAATAACTCAGTTATTGGGAGTTATTGAGAGATTATTGAGGGTATTAACCTCAATAACATCTCAATAACTTCCCAATAACCTATAAATACCTTCCACAGTTCGTGCTCATATTTTCTGCTGTCATTAGGGGGTTTTGTGTGGTTATTGGGGGTATTAACCCCAATAACAGCGACATAACCTTCCAATACCCCTAAATAATCGAAGTACGCACACGGAGCTGTGTGTGTATGACGTAAGTAAATATGCGACGGCCGTGATACAACGAAGGACTTCCGCTGTATCATGGCCGATCGCCCGGACGAAGCTCGGCGTCCCTGCGACGGACATAATAATCTCTCGTTTATATAGATGAGATCATGGCATAGCTTCTCCTGCAACCATCTCCTTCCTTCCCCTTCACCCTCTCATCACCGAAACCTCTGTGATGCAGTCATGACTAATGGTAGCTAGGAAAGACAATGACCGGATTATGGTGCACAAAAATCTCCGAAAGTTTCTTCTTTCTACTTCAGTTCCGTTTCTTCCCAAAGCCATTGAGGAAGGTAGCCCTCGTAATTCTTGCAAATCCTGGAATCAAAGAAAAACAGAGAAGAAACAAAATGTGACTTTTCAGGAAATTAAAATCTCATATCATACAAAAACAAACAAACAACTGAGTAATTACAGCTTCCCAAAATTCATAGCTCAATTGTTTCGAAGTATTGGAACTCCGAAGTCACACAACAAATATTAGCAAAGCACTACAAAAATGATTCCAAAAGTCATGCAACACCTACATCTTTAAACGAACCATTCCCACATTACAACCAGAGCTACTTATTCATCAAGTCATTGAGGGCTTCAATGACGAGGGGGAAGGGGAAGGGGAAGGGGAAGGGGAAGGGGAAGGGGAAGGATGGATAAAAGGAAATTTTCAGTTATATCCTGCACCTCATTTATGGCCTAGTCAGTTTTCAATGCAGTTTTAAATATCCATAAAATTGTAGCTGTCTGAGACCACATGTGTCAACTCATTTAATATGTAATAAAATCATAAAAGAAAAAAAAATCTTTATTATCTTGAGGAACATGTTAATGTAGATTTCTAACTTCATGCAAACAGATGAGAAACAAGCTATTGGCTTTTGTAAAAGTTCTTACAACATTGAATTACTATAGCTCAATCCAAGCACCACTAAAGTAAGAGCATTGTTTTCAAAATTTACAATTTGTAATTGGTTGCTAATGTTGCTTCCCATATCTGGAGTTCCATTAGGAGTTGTTCTTGAATATCCTCCAAAAAAAAAGAAGAATCAGAAAGACATAACTCTGCCATATATATATATATATACACACACACAGACACACACTAGAAGATTTACATACAGACCACTCAATTCTTATGTTTATAGATACAAACCAACTTATCCAAGCATGGAAAGGTGTAGTTTACATTTTTAAAAAATTAAAATGGTGGTATTGTATATGTGATAAAAAAGATTTGGGTGGTATAAATGGAAAAAGCAAAATTTAGTTGTTAAATGTGCAAATACATAATAATTGGGTGGTATATATATGTAAATGCACCAATATACTAACACTTTCTGCAGCATTGGTAAGCTGAAGAGTTTCTGTGGGACAAGGCCATGGTATCTTCCTGGTTGTATACCTTGAAGCATACAACAATTTTAGAGTAAATTAACAATGTCTATTTGCTAGATTTCAAGTAGAGAATAAACAATAACTTACAAATTGATGAGATTTTCAAGTTTTGAATCCATGCTGGAGCTTCTGAAGGATCCAATGAATTGTTGCATAGATCCCTGAATAAAAAATAGTCATTGTTCCATGTTTTTTTTACGTTCAGCAAAATAAATGTAAAAAAAAGGGGAACATTTACATATATACCAATCATTTTTTAGATATTTACATTCTAAAACCTAATCTTTCATATTTACATACATAAGACTCTAAATCTTTAATATCACATAAAAAACACCACTATTGCTAAATTTTTAAAAGTGAAGTACACATTTTCATGCATAGGGTCATGACACCAAAATATTATAAATGTAAATATTAAACTTTTGGTTTTGGATATGTAAATACAAAGGAATTTTGTGGTATGTATGTAAATTTCCCAAGATAAATTGCATAGAGTTACACTTTTGTTATGTAACATTGATTTACACTTACATAATCTCATGTTTTGTTGCAGTACTATCGAAGCAGAAATTGCCCCAACTAATTGATTTCTATCCAAAATTTTACCATTAACAGAGCTTAGTAAGAAGTAGCTTCATATGTCTAATGAAGAAATTGAGTGTAGGCTTACAACTGTCTTAGACGCATATCAGAGTGAAAAAACTATTCTAGGATGGAACTTATCAACTTCTTTGAAATTACATCAAAGAAACAACAAGAATAGGGATGAATCAATCGAACAAGATTGGTATTCAGCAGAAAGTGATTTTATTGCTATTTGAGTTCCATCCTTCAGTATTCCCTGCACATGAAGAACAAAAAAGTGATAAATTAATAATCAATGACTTGGAGAAAAATCAATGGAATAGCCACAGTGATAAAAATATTCATATAAAGTCTACTTTATGCACAATTCGAAATCCACCAAACCCTATTTGAGTTCCATTATAAAACACCCCTAATGTGAAGCCCAATAATAGACACGAAATAAGTTTTGCAGGAATAAAACGGTAAAATGCAACAAACGGATGGACAATATCGAATTCAACAAAAATCAAATAGAGAATGTAAAGCATCATTTGGAAATCACATCACAAGGAAAAAGACAACTTTAAAATAAAGAAGAGATACTTGTGGCAATTCCACCAAATCCAACCAAAGAGCACCCATTGGCTTCAACCAAAATATAAACTAACAAGAAGGTGGACTATAAAAATATATCCATCTATCTATCTACCAAAATAAATTCATAAAAGTTTTCACCATGCACATTTTCAAATCCAAAAAAACTCATGGACAATGCACAAGTTTGTTGCAAAAAAAAAAACTTGAAATAAGTTAGGAAAATAAAATTTCAAAAAAATGTCTTCCACTATGTTTTTTCTTAGGCATCTTCCTCCATGAGAAGTTTAGGTCGAAATCTAGTTGCAAAACAGGTTTCTTCAAACACACGATTTACCCTATCAATTTCTCTGTGAATTGTTAGACTCAATATATTTTTACAAGTTATTTTATGATGCTCAGAAAGTCCGCATCGACCGTATTTGTAGACTCTTTTAGACTTCCTGACATTATTTTCCCTAAGAAATTTTTTATTATTCTTTTCTCAGGCCTTATTCTAGGCCTTAAAGTTGTAGGCACACCTACATATATACAACAATCAATCACAATTCACTGCTCCTTACTTGGCATGATTGATATATGACTATCATAAGCCATTTTATAACTGTATGAGAAAATCAAATATTAATACTAAAATATGTTAAATGAAAAAGTAATATTGTGCTCTTACCGACCTAATAAGATAATAGCACTTATGAACATATGTATGCCATAAAGGATGTTCTTTATAGCCGATGAACGCAACAGCGTGAATGCATGGTAAACCGATGGATTGCCATACTCAACAACTACATTCTTTAGTATATATGTCAAACCTATGTGAGCATTTCGACTTGCAAACTCTATTGTATATATTTTTTATTGTCTCACCATTAGTTTTCTTTTATAGTTGCAACTTCTATCACATATTTCTCAACACGCGAGACTAACTCGTTTTTCCAATTATTTGATTTCATCTTTCTATGTGCTCTCTTCCCCATAAGCATAGGATCATGCCAAGCAGATCCAATACAGGCTTACCTCTAGATTCTTCAATCCACGGATTAAATGATTCTGCCATATTATTCGTATTACAATGATTTTTAATCTAAATGAAAAAAATTACTTTTGGACCACTTGTATGGAAAACCAATCAACTATTGTACATTTGCAGCTAAATAAACCTTAGCTCATTTATCTTAATGTTAAATTCAAGCTTAACACATATGTCAGCTACTGCCCATAGCCAACTTTGCACCTTAGTAGTGCCACTATAGTGAAATAATAATTTCATATTCTTCCATAGGTGTCCATACAAACTCGATGTTCAACATCCGGAAAAGCAATCTTGATTGCTTCTCCAAGGCCCTTCTCCATATCAGATATAAATTCAAGAGGATATAACTCAAACATAATGAACATAGCTAACTATTTTAAAAACCAGTGCCAAGTTGTCTTTGACTCTGTTTCAGAAAATGCGAATGCTATTGTATAGAGCAAATTATTCTAATCCAATAAAGTTGCAGACAATAAAATACTAAGAGATCTCGACTATAAATGACAAGCATCAAACACATTTAAATGTCTGCACCCTGTTAAGAATCCATCAATGTAAGCCTTGGGAACTCACATAAAATCTTTTAAAAGACGACAAATGCTTTCTGCAAACATATGTAATATGAGACCCAGGATTTCTATTTATAAGTTTCTTTTGTAATGCAGGTACCCATCTATAGTTATTACCCACTGATTCAAAAATATTCTCTCGTGCCTGCGCTCTTGACCTCCACAACTTAATGTAACGTAATGAGTTGCTCTCTTGATCTAACACATAAATTCTCTAAATAGTTAGTTTGTTTTGGAGGCATCTCAGGATTTTTCTTAACTATTTCTTTGATTTCTTTAATTACCCAAGCTGATGTTGCTTGTCTATTTCCTCCATCAATTACCTAAGCTGATGTTGCTTGTCCACAGGCATCTCAAAATTCTCTAAATGCTTGTCTAATAACACATATAGTTATTATGTACTGATTTTTCTTAACATCAGGACATAAATATTTCAGTTCAAATTGTCTCACCTCATATTTTTTTTCATCAGCACATAGTGCAACTTCAGCTCTCCAGGGGAACCCAGATGTACACAAATAAAAGAGACGCAAGATTTATGGCTAGCTTGGATCTTTATCACATATTTATTTTTTATCTCATTGAATTGAATTGCTTGTTTGAAACTTTGTGAATCACAAAAGCATGCACCCACTTTTAACTCAATATCACCTTCAACTTGGCGGGTTATCAGTGTTCTCATAAAATGCATAGTAGGATATTAGAAGGATGCTACCCAATGTGTTAGTAATGACACTCATCTCTTGGACTTTTGGAAACACAATAGGTTTTTTATCATTTTGGGTAATCACCACCACCTCCACTCTACTCCATCCACTTAACTGACTGACAATTTTCATAACCTCAAAGTCACTAGTCATTCATATATACTCTTTTGGTTATGTTCGACATTTATGATAATGTAGCTCATATCCATTTCCTCTAATGCCAAAGACAAATTTTTTCAATCTTCTCCTCAAGCACCAGCAAGCTTAAAATAACATTTTGCATCTCTATAGTATTATGTTTTTCACCTTCATATCTTATTCTGGATTGATTATTAACTTGCATTGAGTACCCTCTATATTTGAACATCACCATTAAGTCTTTATTTTGAAACTCCATTGCATTCATTTTTAACACTAAATTACAAAAGTTCTACATAGAAAAAAAATTAATATGAACAAAAGTTTATATAAGAAGAGGAGTATATCTTTTTCTATCTTTAACAATAGAAAATGATGTCATTAAAAACTTGGTATTTGTACTATTATGTTAGCACAGACTTTCACTATTATATCATCACAAACTTTCATGTTTACTGAGATACCATTCATAGATCCAAGTTATGTAAGAGATTGTGAATAACACCCATACTAAAACTGCCATTGAAAACCAGCCAAATCCAGACACAAAAAGAAGTTAAAATCCGCAAGCATGATATTCCACAGGGAGCAAAACATGAATTATAAAGCATAAAAAAAATTATCTCTGCAAATTGTACTTAATCAAAAGCATAATAAAATCAAGGAGCAAGAAAAGAGAGAAATAAAAAATCACAGAGGGGTAATGAAATCAGTCACAGTACTAGATAAATACTAGACCCTTCAAGTCCAGCCCCATGAAGTAGAGGAAACCCAGCGTGAGTGGTGAACCAGATAAATCAAAATTTAAACGAGGTCCAACTACAAAACAAAGACCATCTAACGATAAAAACTCAGTAATATGTGAATAAATAGAAGGAACCAAAAGAGTTATACCCTTAGAAACAACATAAACATTCTATTCGATGTATGAAAATATATTGATGGGAATTAGCTCCCACGAATTCTGTAAGAAAAGCAACAAAATTTGATATTAAATTTAGGGGAATAAATACAGGGGTTAACTTCCTCACTGATTTCGGGTAGGAGCGGTGGGGAGCGGAGGAGGATAAAAATGAGAGTTTTGGATGTTGTAAAACCGCAATGAAGTTGTTGCCTTCAAAATTAGGTCGAGTGGAGTGAAGGAAAAGAAAGATGGGAATCTCGGATGTCACGTGATGAAGACGTAGCCTTCCCAATTTGGAGGTGGAAGAAGATGGGAGTTTCGGAGGTTTGTGGTCCAGCCGGAGCATAGGAGGAGAAGTGGGAGTTTCGAAGGTCTGTGGTTGAGCAGAGTGGTGGAGAAAGATGAGAGTTTCAGATGTCTGTAGCTTGAGCGAAGCAGAAGAAAAAAAAAAGATGGGTGTTTCGGAGGTCTATGTACTCCAGGATTGCGCGATGAAGTCATTGCCTTCAAATCGCCATCGAATTTCTTTCCTTTGCAGGGAAGCTAACAATGGGGCGTAAACGAACGGAACACGAAAAGAACACTTTTAAGCTTGTCATTGAAATTCTTAAAGTCAATGTTCCAGTTAACGAACACGAGCTGTTTACGAATAAGAAGTAGTTTGACATCCTAATATTAATATATATAAATAATATATTATATTAATTATATAACTTATGTAAATAAATAATATCTATACTGATATATTACTAATATAAATATAGTATATTAATATATTATTATTATTTTATTATATATTATAATTTATAAAATTTAATTTTTTAAAATATAATAATTTATATATATATATAATTATTTTAAATTATTATATATTTTGAACAGTAATGATTCAAACACGAATGAAAGCATCACTGTTCGTGTTTGGTTCGTTTAACTAACCGAACGAAAAAATTTTACTCACATTCGTCTCGTTTACTTATCGAACGAATCGATACGAGCTCATTGACGAACCGAACATGAAATGTTCGCGAACAACAAGTTTTTTTGACAACCCTAGCTAACAAAATAGAAGACATAGTTCAAATAGGATAAAATAATGAGTTTTGGGTTCTATATATGTAATTTATAAATTTTGGTGTTTCATGCATGTAAGAATCCCAATAATTTAAGAGGAGTACCATGTTATGGACTTGCTTGAGCATCTTGACCACAATTCGATGTATGGTTCCAAACCTAAACAAATTTTTATTCCCTTGAAACTGCCCCTTCGGGTTTTTGTCTAATCTTCTTGAAAATATAGCAATCCTAGTCCACTTTCTAGAGCTTCTCTAAATCCAGGCCTTAAGTTGATGTATTTTAATGGTGTTTTTTAGTGTGACTATGATGCTTTCTTCCAAAAATATCATAGACTGCACTTTAAATTAATTGGTGAACTTTTATCTTCAAGAGGAAAAAAGTTATATTTATATTATCAAACATGCTTTCTTTGTTTGATAGAGCCTCTTTAAATGGATCCACATTTATTTTCTTCTTGCCAATAAGTTGGTTTGTTCCATCCACTTAAAATTTTCTTTGTTTTGTATTTACTTGAGTCAGCATCTCAATGCTATAGTGTTTTCTCAAATATACACACAACACGAATCTTAAAGAAATCCGACGATCAACACATAAGGTGACATAACGGCCCGGGATCCACATGGGATAGTTCAAAGGACTTTATATGACCGACTCTTGTGGGCCAAAAGAAAAATAGTCCCAAGATGGGCCAAAGTGGACCACCATTCTAAAGTTTATTGGCACAAAACTCGCATGGACAGATCCGTCGGAATTCCTCAACCTGGTCAAGTTAATGATGAAAACCGCCCAGATCAAAAACAGTAGATCGAGGCCTCTCGGTCCACCCTTCATCCATAGCTACCCAGACAATTACCCAGTCGGTCATTCGGGTGGCTGCCCCACTAAAAATTTGGCTCTATGTCATCCCTAGCTCCCGACCCCATGCGGTCAAAAGCTATACCAGACTCCTAATTCTATATTTATGTATTGATTGAAATACCCCCCTATGTATCTATTTTTTTAGGGGTACATGATGTAATCTTACATCCCTCCATTTCTATAAATAGGGATTTTTATCATGAATAAATACTACGTGATTTAAATTTTCATTACTAAGCCCTCTCTACTCTTTTCCTCCCTTTCGTGCTCTAATCCTTAAGCATGTCTCCCTGACAGTTTTAGATTCAACATCCTAAAAGGTGCACTAAGTATGGAGACATGTCGTCAACAAGAAGAGGAACACAACAATGACATTAATAAGAAGAGAACTATCGTAGAGAAGTAGCCAACACAGAACATGTCAGAGAAGACATTAAGAAGCTCATGCAACAAGGAATGCAAGAGTTGAGGACCCAGATAATGAATCAGGTGTCGGGCTAGATCACAGAGGTCCTGAGTACCATCATGGTTCTAGGAGGAGATCAGTTCCCCCTGAGGTAGAACCCTCCTCTGGAGACGACACTGGTGCAAAATGGCTAGAGGCTAAACAACGGCTTCGAGAGGGCTAAAGACTCACAATACCAAGGCAACATTGGATTTGTGCATCTGGAGAGGATGCGGTTTGGGCACATTGAGGCGCTGAGTCAGCCAGAAAATTCCTTCTTCCTCCATATCTCAAGGGTTGAGCCTCCAGAGAAGTTCATCCTCCCAACATTAGAGGCGTACTGAGGTCTATCTGATCCCAACAATCACATTGCCTCATTTGAATCTGTTCGGATACATTCAAGTGCCACTTATTTTTCACTACCCTGAGATCGTCAGCCCTGAAGTAGTTCAACTCGCTTCTGGTTGGAACTATCAACAGATTTTTAAACTTTCAAAGAATTTTTCTTCCGTAGATTACAAGCTCCCGGGTACCAAAGAAGATAATGCAATGCTTGTGGTAGCTAAAATAGCGACCAAACGAGATCCTGCACAACCATATCCTTTTATCCTTAAGGTGGATGTGAAGGACTTCTAAATCGACATGGAAAAGGACACTCTAAAGCAGGGCCTATGGTATGAGAGGTTTCATTATGACTTTAGCTTTTATAAACCCTAGGATTTTGTCAAACTGCTGGAAATGACCAACAGACACATCTTCATTGAGGAGAGCACCCCCGCAACTGGAGCTTGCAAATCGTCGGGTCCAGAAGAGAGAGCCGCCAAGTAGAGGGTGCAAACCAAGGTAGGATCGTGGAATATCCTTTTGAATGAGGTATGAAGACAACCAACCGACTTGAGACAACAGGGGGTCTGGCTAGCTCAATGACCAGAGAGGTCAGACAAGGAATTGAGACTAGCAACTGGATTAATATTATGGGAGGCCAACCCAATATAATGAAAAATTCTTCGATGAGTTCAAGGGACCTCAAGTCATTCCATTCAGAGTGTTGATGGTGGATATTGTGAATGTCATCCAAGATAAGAAGTACTTCAAAAAAACAACACCGATGAAGGTCTAATCCTTTCTCTAGGATACAAGAAAGTATTGCAAGTATCATCGAGACCACGACCATAATATGCAGGAATGTAGACACCTTCAAAACCTGATTGTAGAGCTTATCAATGCTAGAAAGCTGAAGGAGTTTGTTGCACTGGGGCCCTGGAGTCTTAGGCAAAGAAAGCCTCAACAATATAAGCCCCATCCAGACAAATTTTGTCCATATTACTAGAAAGGATAGTCCCGGAAAGAGTCCTTCTGCAGGGTCTCTCTAAAGAGAACTAGGATGGGAGAGCTTGTTAACTTCATTCTTGGTGAGGTTTACCTCCTTCTCTAGAGCTTAGGGTCTAGCCATAAGATCTCCATATTGACTCTCCTAGAAGACTAGTGGTGGGCCGCATCCTAATTAGAAATTCCAACCATTTATTGGCTCTTTTGCAATCTCATAAGCATGGTCTTAATTTCTCAACACTTGGTTGAGTTGATTAAGGACCAACACATTGAGACTCAAGATGAGCACACCAGAAGGTTGAGTGGTACTTTAGGGAGACCCTTTATGACCTAGGACTTTACCTTATTAAAACACTACATACATTTACACCACACACATCCACAAACAATTCATGCCCACCAACATCACATATACAATAACACTTCCATTCACACTCATCACCACTACCATCCATACACCCTTACATACCCACCACCCCTTTGCAAATTACACATATAGATACACATACTCATCACCACATTCATTCACACACACGTAACTCACACACACCATCTTACATGCACTGCACACAATTCACATACATCACATCCCACACCCTACACACAATTCACACTCATAAAAGCTAAAAAAAAACTAACCATGAACTTAATTAGCCCATGAAATTAATCCAAGCTCATTAAAAAATTAAATTTAAAGAAGCCCAAAGCTCCACTAAGTTTAAAAACAACCTCATCCATCAAAATTAAAATCAACTTAAATAAAATCCAACACCCCCATGACATTACTCATCCCTTCATGACTTTAAAATAGATTAAACATAAGATGTAAGCTTTCATAATTAATTAAAGACCAAATTTGGGCCTATGAAAAATACATCTAAAAAAGTAAAATTTTTTTTAATCCTTTCTCATGACAAGCCATGCAATCCATGGAGCCTTACCTAAGCCACACATGAGCCACTTAAGGCATATACATGTCATCATGCCATTTATGGCTAAAGGAGGCGATCTTTTCAAGATTCCCACAAAAGTGTTTAACCACTCTAATGACTCACCTAAAATCGTGCTTAGCACAAACCCCCATGATTGGGACATGAGTACCCAAGCCCCCATGCCATGCACCAATTCCAACCATCATGAGGGGTGAGTACAACCCAAAAACATGACTTGGACTTAAGGTTAATCCATATTCATATTCACCCTTTTCCATTTAAATGAAGCATACCTACGCTTGCTCCAACTTAATGGGTTTCACAAATCTCCACCCATATCCTCCCACAACCAGAAAGTGACCAACCATGCTCTAGCCAGGCAGCATGGCCAATGATAAGCCTAGACCCGAGGATCACCCATGGGAAGAAAGCCCAAAATAAACTCCACTCTTGTTGGCTCAGCCCCATTCGACCACTTCCCCTACTAGAGCTTCACTTAAGCGTCCACATAAGCCCTTAAGCTAGTCAATTGGAGCTTTGCTCCCCATGGCTGAGTTATAAATAGGGTACCCACGACAAAAAAAGGGAGAAGTGTACAAGCCTTGGCGAAGCCCTACCAAATTGATTCGAAACCCTTTGCACAACCTTGTGAAGCTCATCCCCATCATTCTTAAACCTATACAACATCCTAAAAAACCTAATTTTATCTCTGAAATCTAGGGTATATTTGGCCTTGGAATCAACTTCACCAAAGCTCCATTTTGAACCTTCTAAAAGCTTCCCTAGAGTTTAAAATTACTTCCCCAATAAAATCCCATTCTTCCCATGACCCCTAACCTAGAGCTATACCAAACCCGATTCACCATTTGGTCAAGCTCATACCTATGCTCATCCATAGTTAAAATAAAAGCAAGGAGGAGATGTGTGGCTTTAAGGTGAAGCTTCACAACCCATCAATTTTAGGCCTCAACTCTTACATTAAGTTA